ATGCCTGCCGCAAGTCCTCATAGGGCCGAGCTATAGCTCACTCACATAGAGCTATAGCTCGCAGCCTCGTTGCAAATTTCCAGATTCGTCAAGTTTTTGTAAAACGGTCATAACTTTCTTGTTTCTTATCGGAATTGGGAATATGACCTATTGTTGGAAAGTTCTTGAACCAAGCTATCACCTCCAACTTAAATCAGCTCAAAATCTCTTGTAGCTTGAGAGATATATGTGTTCAAAGTCAACCCTACTAGATTTCGAGTCACAATTTAACAATCTCCACCTTGACTTGAAATCGACCAAAACAAGGTAACTCCACCTTGAACCAAAAAACCAAGAAGTAATGCTCATAATAAAACATAAAACCTCCACCTTAAACAAAAATCCATAAGCCTACTAACATTAGGCTATCACCAAATGGACATCTTCCATAACTTGTGAACCGGTGCGTCTCCGAACACAAAACCATCACATGGCCTAGATTGAGAGTATAATGTCCCGACGCCAAGCATGCTTATAAAAATTGACCAAACTCTCTTCAAACACTTCTTCATCTCAAAAAAAAAAAAAAAAAAAAAAAAAAAAACTTAAGCAATTCTAGAAAAATAAAAATTACATCAAGAATTTCTAAATTGCAATTGTACTTAGTAAATCACAAAAGTACCAAAATTGAGATAAGAAATAGCATAACTAGAACAAAATCTAATGCATATCCAAGATTGCTACTTTATTACAAACGAAAAAAAAAAAAATACAATCTATCATAGATTCCATACCAAAAATCCACACTGTTTCTCGTTTTACCAAGAAATCTCTAAGGGGAACTTATCATGAAGAGATCGTAGAAACTGCAACCCCAAAGCTCGTAACCCTAAAGTGCATAATCATAATCATCATCGTTGTTGGCCATATTAGCGGATTTGTCCTCATTGGAGTTCTCTTCATTCTTCTCTTTAATTTCCAACACTCGGCTTTGATATGACCCTTCACATGACAATAGTTACAAACTTTTCCTTTGCCAAAATTCTTATTACCACCATGAGCAACTCACGAGTACAACTTAAATCTTTAGCCCATTTGACGAGTACATTACTTGTATTTTGTTTTTCTACCCAGTCAAACAACCATAAAGATTGGTCTTTGCATAATAATTCATTAATTAGGAGAGAGGTGAGTATTTGTTGTGGCATATTACGCGTCGAGTTAATGATGCGAGGAAGGAGGTGAAAATGGCCTGGTTAAAGTTACTACAACAAGCTTTGAATTACAACTAGCATGGAGACTAGGCTACTCGAAGATTGTACTTGAATACGTCGTGTTCAATGTCTTAACTACCATCAACCTACAAGTAGAATAGCAATAGCAATAGGCTAATAACTCCTTGTCTTTAATCTTTGAGATTTGACTCAGTAAGGATTTAGTTATATTTTCTATTGTTGATTTGCTAAATATAATCTAATGTCAAAAAGAACCTACGACGTTATGGTTATCGTCTATGACTAGTGGATCCGAATACTCACTTGACTTGTTAAGTTGTTATAGTTATTGTCTATAACTAACAGATCTGGATACTCACTTGATAGACCTCAAGTACGTAAATTATTACGAGTGATCTTTTATATTCATATGTTTACATCATTACAAAACTATTGTGTTAGGATTATTATTGTGTCAAAGAGGGCTTTTAGGGCCGATCGACTTAGTTTTTGAACTAAAAATACATTTTTAGAATGATCCAATCCTGCACTTTTTTCACGACTGATTATTGTTGATCACCTTTATTTAACACATATAATATTGTTCGAAATGGCATCAAATTCTTATATTATAACAAGTTCTCAAAACAAAAACAGTAGATTATAAAAATAAAGGGAGTGTTGTTTCATTATTTGACTTAAATAAAATCTAAACTACTAGTTTGACACATTAAGACAAAATTAAACAAAATCATCTCTTGGGCAGGTGAAACTTGTGAAAAAACTGCCTTAAAAGTTGTTAATTAGGTGGAACATTAGTCAAATCGTTGACAAATTAGAAGACTTAATCAAAAACTTCATTATTCTCGAAGCTTGAATCTATTTGGACGCAAATCATGAGATCATTGGAAAGTTATATAATAATGAATCTTCACTTTTCCAAAGGCTACAAAAAGCCAATGTCCAAATGTGCCACTAAGGAGACATCAACAAGCACAGAACCTTCTTTTATGTAGGCCTTTCCCTTGGCTTACTACACTCATATCTAAGTCCACTACCATTTTTATGTGGTTTATGTGGAATTTGACCCCCATTTTGCTACTTGTACTTTGCCTAAAGTTAAAAGCTTTTTTCCTTTTCAATTTGGATAATGTTTACACATCTAGTTGTCAAAAAAATACCTTAAGATAGTAAGGACATGTTCTGATTAACTGAACTAAATTTATTGGAGTTGAATTGAACTAAACTGAATATTTTATGAGATAAAAAAATTTAAGAACTGAACTGAACTGAAAATAATTTGAAAAGAACATACCCTAATTAAATTAAATTTGATTCAAAGATTTGTGATTGTAATTTGCCAAATATGAGAGATCGATTAGTGGTTTTTAGAAAATATTATATATATATATGTACTTATTTTACATACGATCGGTACGGACTATAATGATATGGATTAGCTTGATTTGATGGTATTTTTTTTATCCTTGTAATTATTAGGAAAGAAAACCATGCAAATTACTTATATCATCCATTTAGATGAAATGATATATACAAAACACTTTAAGTTAATGAATAATAAGACAAAAGAGCACAATAACCCTTTAGCTCAAGCATTTGCTAAGGCCCTAAGGTAAGCTTAATGGATAGATTAATTACAAATTTACATTAAACGGAGTATTCAAAAACGACATATGAAATTATAATTAATCAAAACAAATTTGATTTATTTTATCTTTTATATATTTTTTTTTGAACGGGTGGAGAGTAATTAATGTATTAGACCTTATTTGTTTTTTATTTGACATTTATACTACAAGTTTACATTTCCACACTTTTTTGATGATACACTAAAGATGAAAAATTGAAAAGCGTTGACTTTCCACACAATCATTTGTCACCGTGCAAATGAAAAATCCATTTCCATCGGATTTGATACGAAATGCTAAAAATACTAAAAGAGTGCGAACAAATTAAAGTACACTAAAATATAAACTGCCATAATTTAAAAAGTCGTCAAACACATATCACTATTTCCGTAACGTTCATATCACCCTCACTTCTTTCTCTCTTAATCACTTCTTTTGTCAACTCTTTAAAACTTAACTTTTATTAATACTTTTTTTCCACCCCTAAATGTGATCTAAAAATGTTAAGTACTTTTTTTTTTTTTTTTTTTTTGAGGGAATAAAAAAAAAATTGTTAAGTACTCAATAAAAAAGTTATGAAATTAGGTGAATTAAGAATAACAAGACTCTCGAATTACTTAATTAAAGTTTGTTACTCATAACTTAGATCCAATGGACTTATGTGAGATTCCATAATATTATTCAATCTATTTTTTTTAATAATTAAAGATATTAATGGTATAAGTTACGCATTCAGTATAACATAAGTAATGCAACTATTTAAATGAAGATAATATGTCCTTATATCATACTCCCTCCATGCCTTAATTACGTGTCTATTTCTAACATTAATTACAGACTTACGTCCGTTTTTTATTAGTTGACACATATTCCTTTTTAGGAAGTTTTTTTTTATAGTTGACACGTTTTCTTTTTGGGTAAGTTTTATACCTAGATTTTTAAGTGTACCCCACTTGCTTTATCATTCTCTCTCACTCTCTCTCCTCTCCTTAATATGTGTGCCTAAATTAAACGTGTCAACTAAATAGAAACGGAGGAAGTATATAATACGGAGTGGCCTGTTCTCATTGATTGAACTGAACTGAACTGAGCTGAATTGAACTGAACAGAACTGAGCTGAACTGAACTGAAATGAATATTTTATAAGAGAAGGAAATTAGGAGCTGAACTGAACTGAGCTGAGCTGAACTGAACTGAATATTTTATAAGAGAAGGAAATTAGGAGCTGAACTAAACTGAACTGAACTGAACTGAACTAAACTGAATTTCAACGTACGAGAACAAACTCTAAAGAGAAATAGTCGCACAGTTAAGGAACAGAGGAAGTAAAAATTACAGAGTGAAATACAAGTAAGGAAAATGTTATGCGAGCTATTAGGACTACATATAAACATTAAATACACTCTAGAAAATTGTTTAAATTTAAAAATTCATAACAAAAACACACTAAGGGTCTGTTCACAGTTACTGAACTGAGCTGAATTGAACTGATTGGAGCTGAACTGAACTGAAATTAAGCTGAAGTGAACATGCCCTAATTACATTGATTTGCGCGCATTTTTGTTATGAATTTTCTAATTTTTTATACAATTTTTCAAAGTGTATTTAAGGCTTATAGGTAGCTTTAAGTAGGGCTAAGCAAAACCGAAAAACCGTTCCGAAAATTAGGGTACCCGGTCCGATAACCATAACGGTTTGGGTAACCGTTCCGATAATTTGTTATCGGGTATGGTTATTGGGTATCATTTTAAAATTAACGGTTACCCGTTTCAATCCGATAATCATTTTTTATTGTTTTTTTTCCCTACTTAAATCTATTTTTTTAAAATTAAAACTCTTACTTTATTTCATAATTACTTTATAAACTTTATAATATCAATGATTAGTAATATTATTAATAATTTGGTCAAAATCATATGATATTGTTGTTAATTAGTGGTAAATTAAATTATATCATAATAATTATATAATTAAATTTAAATATCATTATTGGATATTTTATTGGGTATTTGGTAACCGATCTGAAAATCCGGGTACCCGAACTTATTGGTTTGGGTCATGAATATCACTTTTAGGGATTTTGGTTATCGGATATCCGAACCGTTAGTACTAATGGTACAGGTACCCATCCCATGCTCACCCTTAGCATTAAGGGCTATGTATAGCATTACCATAGTAATTATTTTATGGAGTAAATAGAGTAAAAATACAATGAGTAATTAATTTATCTATTTTGTAAGTAATGATTTAATGAAGCATCGGATATGATGCCCAAATGTTGGCCACTCTTCAAGTCAACCTATCTCTCACATTTGGTGAAAAAAATACAAAAAAGTCATAATCTTTCCATTTCTCTTCCCCCCAAAATACAATTTAAATTAAATAAAAATTATAACCCACCTTCCTTCCTCATTTAATTTCTCCCCTGTCTTTTCTTCCTCATTTTCAATTATTTATTTCTCTCCAATTTATTTATTTTTTCAAAATTAATCAGATCTTTTATTACATAATTAATTACCCCCTTCTCTCTCCTCTCTTTTGGTAGTAGATTCAATTTATTTCATTGCTTTCAATTTCAAATTCTTACCCCTCTCTGTTTCTCATTTATTGCTTCATACCCACTTACATCACCATCTCTCTCCCCCTTTGACTTGCAGATCTTTCATTTTCTCTCTCCTCCACAATTCATACTAGAGTTCTTAAAAATTCTGGGTTATTATTATTATTATTATTATTATTATTTTTTATCTAGATTACTTAAAACAAACAAAAAGCGATGGATAATCCTCCATTGCAACAACCATTAAAGATGCTAGCTCCGCCACTGCCACAACCGCCACTACCACCCCACCAAAACGTCCAACCACCAAACTTAAACTTGGACAGCAAAATCAGTCCAAGTATAATCCTAATCATAATTATCCTAGCAATAATATTTTTTGTATCTGGGTTATTACACCTTGTTGTTAGATTTCTATTAAGGCCAAATCAACGAAACCCAGATGAATTTGCAGAAAGTGTGACAGCACTTCAAGGCCAATTACAACAACTATTCCATTTACATGATGCTGGGGTTGACCAATCTTATATTGATACACTCCCTGTTTTTCAGTACAAAGCGATTATCGGTTTAAAAGACCCTTTTGATTGTGCCGTTTGTTTGTGTGAGTTTGAGCCGGACGATAAGCTTCGTCTTTTGCCCAAATGCAGCCACGCTTTTCATGTCGATTGCATTGATACATGGCTTCTTTCTCACTCGACTTGCCCGCTTTGTCGGGCGAGCTTGCTGCAGGATTTCGGGGCGCCAACGACGAATTCCCCTCACGGGTTTTCGCTCTCGCCTGTTGTTTGTGTGCTTGAATCGGGGAGTAACACCGTCGAGAGCTCCAGGGAGCTGGAGAGGGAGGTGGTCGGGTCGGGGTTGATTCGAGATGAGTTCGGGTCGAATCGGAGTGATTTAGTAAAATCGCATGAAAATATAGATGACATTGCTGTGAAAAAAGATGATAAGATTGTTATGGTTAAGTTGGGGAAGTTTAGAAATGTTGAAGGAGGTGAAGGAAGTAGTGACAATATTGTTACTAATAATAGTAATAATGATCAAAACAACAACAACAATAGTAGTGGGAGTAATAATTTGGGATCAAGGAGGTGTTATTCAATGGGATCATTTGCTTATGTGATGGATGAAACGACGTCGTTACAAGTACCAATACGAACACCGGCGAAGAAGGCAAGTACTAGTCGCAATAAGAGCAAGGGCGGCGGCGGTGGTGGTAAGGTTGCGAATAGAGGCGCAATGTCGGAGTATGGGTGTGATTCTAGGAGGGAATTCAATGGGATCGAGGCATTCCGAACACTTGACCTTCGTGGGAATAATAGTAACAATAATAATAATGTTGGGGGTAGTAGTGGTAGTATTAAGAAGGAGAGTTTTTCGTTTTCGAAGATTTGGTTAAGAGGTAGTGGTGAGAAAAATAAGAAATTAGGGAACATGAACGGGAATCATGCGAATCCACGAAGTGGTAATTTGAATGGGAATGGGAATGGAAATGAGATCAATCGATCATCAAGGAGGACTACTTCGGAGTTTGAGATTGATGTGAGTGAATTAGGGATTGATGAAGAAACTCAAAGTTGTTATAGCGTTGATTCATTAGCAAATCCAACTACAACATCTTCATCTACAAGAAGAACATTGATGTGGCTTATGGGAAGACAAAACAAGATTGTTCATAATCATTCTTCCTCTTTCTCATCCAATGTTTAGTGTAATTTTCACTTGTTGTTTTTCAAAGGTAAATCTCTATATTCTACATTTCTAATATTCTTATTTTTATTTTTTAGATTTTGGACATGAAAATTAGAGTGGTGGTTAAAAAGAAAAAAAAAAAAGAAAAACAAAAAGAATTGGAATTGGTATGATACACAAATTTTTGTGCATGTGATTGGTAAACTAAACACCTTTTTTTAGTGAGATTGGAATGTTCATTTTGCAGTATACATAAAGTTGATTATTTTTTTAGCTTCGAGATTCCTTTTCTTTCTCTGTGCATATTTTCTTTGCCTTATTAATTAGTTGCACGCATTTGCATAATGTAAGAATTATTTTTGTATTAACAGTTAGCCAAGCTTGTTTCTGATAAATTAATACGATTACAATATCATAAGTATTGCCAAATGTCTAATCTTTAAAAATAATACTTGTAGAACTCTTGTAGCATTAGTTTTACAGTGAAAGTACAACTAACATACTGGCGCATCCAGGGTGGGGGTGGTACATGGAGGGTGTGGTTGTACACTTGTACCCTCAATTTACTAGAAATAAGTTTTATATCTTGTCGAAAAATTCAGAATAATATATACGTATTCCGTAGTATATTTGTTGATTTATTTAAAATAGTTGTTATGTTTTTATTATATCCTCATTTAAAACATCTATAATCTTCCATATATTGATCTAATGAAAGTACAAGTAGTAGATTAAGCAAAGACATCATCACCTATGTTAGTATAAATGTCTTCACCTCAAAATCTAGTATCTTAGTAGTAGTAGTAATACCAACTACTATGTGATTTACCAACTATAATTGACAATTACTACTCAGAAAATCTGTGTTATAGGACTTTTCCTATTAATATTCTAATCGTCCGCCTTTATCAAGAATCTGTGCATTCACTACACAATGGTCAAACTAATTCAACAACGGGGTTTTTTTCCTTTAGAACAAGTGTTATAGAATAGGTTATCTTTATTAGACTATTGTTATTGATTCATTACTTCATTATCAAAAAAATACAAGAAGTATTTTTAAAATACACAAGGAAAAAAAAAAATGTAGTAAGAAAAATTCAAAAACAAGTACATTGAATGATGATAGGGAAATTTCTGCAATAAGTGTATAATTAAGTCAGTTTTGGAATTTATGTACTTTGGGCCAGTGGGCCCCATATTTGCATTGCCTATTTATAATTTTAAAACAAACAGAGATTAATGGATTTTGTAGTTTGTAACAGAAGCCCAACTGATGGGAGTTTGAGGTTCAAGTACTATGTGTTGCCCAAAAAATAAGGGTAAGAAAATTAGAGATTTACCCCTAAATTTGAAAAGGAAGTTAACAAATCACCTCCTTTACTAAAGTGAATAAGTGATCATTTCCTAGTATAACTTTCTACAATTTTTCTTGAAAGATTATAATCATGCTCCAAGAGAGGTTGTCCCGTATGGCCGTATGTACTTATGAATAATGGACCATCGATCATTCGAATAATTGAACTAACTACATTTTCTCAAAAAAGAAACCTTTAAATGATTGATAAAACACACAAAAAAAAAAAAAAAAAAAAAATCAATTTATTATTATAGCTTTATTGACTTGTTAAATGAGTTGATCTGATATGATTTAAGAAAAGATTACTCCGTATATTAGAAGTCGGTTGGTTATATTTGTTAATATTGCATATATGGATAAGAATAATTTTAAGTTGAATATATTAGTTACAAGTCCTAGTAATTTACTGGTTAAATTAAGATCTTGTCCAAATCTTAATAAATGGGTGCATTCAATTCAACCATACCAATCGAATCAACTTTTTGACACGTGCAAATGTACAATAATAGCAAAACTCACCATTATCACACTTAATTCAAATGTATTGAAAAATATTTTGTGCTACATATGAAGCTCTCAATACATCCAACAACAACGTTGATTGGTATTGAAGGTAAGCTAATAATAAAGGGTGTACTAGTAAGTTTGGTATTAGTCAAGATCAAAGATGAATAAATGAATGATTTAGCAAAGCTTAGAAGGCACAATCCATGGATCCAAAAGAAAAATGACTATACGTTATAAAATTAATGCGACATTTAATTATAATATTTGTATATATAACTACTGTCCATTTTACAGGCTGTTAAGAGCATTCAATATGCCCAACCAAAACCTTTCTTACTCGTTTCGTCCCCCGTCCCCTTCGTACGTCCCTCAATTTCATATTAATGGTATGATATTTTTGTGTCACGTAACATCTGATATAAACTTGTTTTATGAACTCTATTCCTCAATAACTATCGCCATAATATATTGGTTTATGATCGGAAAATTAGCTATGTTGGTGACCAAGTGCTTTCTAGAGCATAATGGTTTAAAACTTTAGCTATTACGAGATAGTGTCTTGAGTCATGGCCTCATGGGTCGTACACGAATATCATTTTCGAATTTTGATATAAGTACAGTGTGTTAGTCTACGTGTTGATCCACTTATTTTTAATCAATTAAGAATCAGAGAAAAGTTACTAACGGTGCCCGTTTGATGGCCTAGCAATATGGGACGAGCTATGTATGGGTTTTATTTACTACCATTGTTAAATGTTAGGTGCAACTTTAAAATATTTTATATCTCACAAATAATATCTCAAACTTACACATAATATTTAACGGAGGTAGTAATAAACGAGCAAAGCACGAGACCTCCTGGCCTTCCACGTGGACTTGCTTGACTCATGCTCAAAGAAGGCAGTGGAATGGGCTGATCCATGGTACAGAACAGCTTAATAGCCCAACATTAAAAAGGGGGGTCCGTTAACTAATATTCTGGCTCAGTTTGAGCTTTGAGGGAATGATTTTAAATTTTTAATTATGATTTTATGACTTATGAGTACTACTTTTTTTTTTTTTTGCTTTTCTAAAAGATGACTCCGTATTACTTTTGTTTCATTATCATCTTTAATAACCAAGGAAAATGAATATAATCAGCTCACTTATTGTAAATCATTCCATATGATTAGAGTGGAAGTTTTTTCATCTATTTAGTTGGCTTTTTACGTGACATATTCTTGGTTACAGATATAGTGTTTCATTTTTTTTTGAGTTCGTCTAACCAAATTAGGAAATATGATGATAACGTCATATAGATATAGATGTATCACTTGGTAATACAAAGTACTTCATACTCCATAATTATTACTTCCTCCGTTTCTGTTTAGTTGACTCGTTTGATTAGACACATATATTAAATGAAAAAGTAAGTGGGATAACTTGTAAATCTAAGGTAAAAAATTTACCTCAAAAGAAAACGTATCAACTAAAAAAAATAATTTCTAAAAAAGAATACGTGTCAACTAAAAAGAAACGAAGGTAGTACTTTAGTTTTTAAAATATTTATCTTGGAGGTGGTACAATATTAAATATTATCTGTATTATTTTACTTGAAGAATTGAAGGTGATACGTGATTAAATATTGTCTGTATAATTAGTCATTGGTGATCACTGCACACATCTTTTACAATGTGGCAAGTTGGTAACAATTGTGATTTTGCTTGGCCAAGACGCAGAGGAATGTTTGCAATGATTTCAGGCCCAATTCTATGTTCATCATCTCGCATGTGAATAGTCAATAGTCATTGTATGAGACTAATGAGTATGGACCCAAAAGTCTAAACGTCCAAAACTAGTTATTACGATATCGAAACAAACAAAAGGATTTTGACTAATTATTCTAAATTTCTAAGGTATAGAAAGTTTGTGTCATCACGTAAATTTGCCGTAACTTGCTAGAAGTATTCACTAATATAAGAATAAAAGGTGACATTTATTTCACGTTATGTGTTTCTCTGCTTTCTCATATTATTATGAAAGATAATGCCTTTTTCATTTCGGATTAGTTACCTCACTTTTCTTATAATAAAACCATTTGAGTTTACCTGAAATCAACACTTTGTCTCACTTTTTTCAGTTCAAAAAACAAAAACAAAACTCTTTGTCTCACTTTGGAACCACTTTATTCACCACTTTTATAAAAAATGTTAAAAAATATAACATGTAAAATTTTTCTCATTAACACCCTCGAAAAACTATGAACAAATTCCCGCTACACTAACTATAATATACAAGTAAACAATTATCCAATCATCATTAACACGCTATAAAATAAGAAAGTCAATTGTTATGCTCAACAGATTAATTTGGTGCGAGGTAGCACATTAGAATCTTAACAAAACCATAATTATGTAATTATCTCTAACGGTTCATCTATAATTATAATCTCAATTGCAACATATATAATGCTACTAGTTTTATTTTCTTCGGTCAAGTAAAAATTGTAGGGTTTAATGAAGATACTCAATCCAAAGTTTAAGCTTTTATTCATCTTAATAGTAATAACAAATATTACGAACAAACCAAGTACGTATTGTTTTATTTGCTAACTTGTAAGTAGTACGAAGTATAACATAATTTTAATTTGCCATCCTTCTCTTTATTGGTAGTTCTTCATCAAGAATCAATCCTTCATAGTTTAGACCCTATAATCACAAGAAAAATGGTCATTAATGAGTTTATATTAATTGGAATGATGTACAATAGTAATATTAGTACGTACACTACTAAAGTGGTTAGTGACTTACTGGGTGAAGTCGATGTTAATTCTACCGGCGTTAGGGTCAGCAATCACGGAAAAAGCTTCCATGGAGAGATCAAGGCCGTTTGCCGAGCAACCGGGGCAAAGGTCTACAACTTTAACGGTAACACTACCACCTCGGCAAGGTTGAGGTACGCCTTGGTTGGTGCCACTAGTACAAGTGACACGGTACATCCTACCACAAGCTGCCCTATTTTGGAAGATGTCTGCACTCGCGGCTGCTATCATCGTTCCTTGGTTTTCAAATCCATAACATGATGAAGCTACAAAACAAATCTTTAGATAATTAAAGGAAATCTTGCAATTCAATTTCATAATTCTAACTATTATTACTCCACATAACATAACACGTACGTCTCTCTCTCTCTATATATATCTACTAATAGTTTTGTTGAAATTAATATAGGGCGAAGGAAGTATATGATATTAAGATGAGTTAAAGATGAATAATGAATATACAAAGTACTTACGAGTGTATGTAGTGTAAAACGTGGCAGTTCCGGGAATGGCAATTGCCACTGATGCAAAAGATGCAAAAATGACTACGACGATCATGGAATGTACAAGAGAAGCCATCTTCAATGCAATGAAAATATATTACTTATCAACAATAAATTTTATGAGTATATAATATGAAGCGTTGCATGAAAAATAGGAGCAACATACCATGTACTTATAGAGGTCTAGTAAACACTAGAGAGATAAACGGTCTATGTACGCATCTTGATTTCTCATATTTGACTTGCTGTATAATTATGACTTTAAGAACATGGAAATAACTTCTTAAGATTTACACGCTATAGAAATTAAATTTCTATAAATTCAACCTAATGAGGAGTCAAATTTAATATAACAACATATAGATCGGATTTGGTTTTCTTTAAATTATATTATATGGATCAACACAATTATGACAATCAAATAATTAAGAATTAAAATCACAAGGGATAATAATTTGCCCAAGTTTCGTTCATTTACCCAATTAAGCGTCTGTAGGCTGAGTGTTACACCAAATTACTACTTTAATTTTTCCTTGTGTATTTTTAAATTTTTTTTTTATTAGATCTTGTGATATGCAATTATATACATTTATTTTTATATTTATAACATATATAGTTGATGATTGGCTGAGATAGTTTACATAATCGTTTTTATAAGAGGTTGGGTGTTCGAATCCTCATAGTTGATTGGGTGATGTGGCCTAATAATTAGCGTTGATTGAGTGGTGATGTAGCAAAATGATAAGTTGAACTAGATGATGTGGCGCAATAATAAAAGGGTTTTTCGTGTCACATAATCGTTCTAGAAAAGCCTTTTAATCTATTAGTATAGATTTGAAATTTCATAAAGGGTTTTTTCCACGGTAGTGCTCCTTAGAGGAACACAATACAGTTTGAGGACTTCATTTCTCTCTATTACCAAACAATCTAATGAGCTACGTACCTCATCTCTTGCCTTCTTTTTTCTTCTTTTTTTTTTTTTTTTTTTTTAAATAATATTTTTACAACAGCTTTATTTTCTATTTTGATTGATTGATTAGTTCAGGTTCTACAATTCTTAAGTCTAATTTAATTATAAGGTTATGCATGAACGTTGACCTAATGATTACTCCAGCAGTCCATTCCCCTAATATTCGCTCTAAGGTTCATTAGCTCTTAAAATTGTTATTTACTAAACTAGCAAGCAATAATATTGAATGGAAAATTGATAAAATAAATGACAAATAATATATACAAAAAGTTTGCTAGGTACGAAATTAAGTTGAGATTCTACTTTGGATATAGAGGTTTATTTATACTTGTACAATTGAGTTTGAGTCGTATGTAAATTCAGAAAATTATACATTTTTTTTCCAAAAGTATTAGTATAATATTTTTTTTTGGAGGGGAAAACTTAGTATAATATGATAGTTGAGTATCAGTATCATTGTAACATACGGAGTACTCTTTCTAATTTTGTACGCTGTTCTTGTTTAAATTACTTTTGTGTAAAATCTGTGTTTGATCGACAACATAGTAAGACGACTTTACATACAATTAATACTAGTCATATAGTCGTCATTTATGTAAGGGCCAGGACAACAAAATTTATTTGCCTTATAAAATATAAATGGTTAGTACGGATTACTTCGTATTAATCTCTTTGGCCTGTATTATACTCCGTACTAGTCATTTCATTTCATTATGACATAGCGATACGTGCAATAATTATATAAATTCACTATCATTTTTTTATTTATTTTTTTTACAAAGATTCACTCAAAAGAAAATCGCCACAGTAGGAGGACTAAAACCCAGAGGTTGCTGAGGAAAGGTTCAGAACTACGCTGATGCCCCACTGTTGAGCCCTGCAGGAGAGCACTATGAACCCTAAACCGAATGTTTTTTTCTCTGAAGTTGCTAAATTAGAGAGAATATGTTAAATTCAATAATCTCAATTGCTTGAATTACAATGATGATGGCCATAGCCAATAAATAATACATTGTTTCCCTAACCCGATAGAATTAGGAAATAATCAAAAGATCCCAAAAAGATAATTTGCTAGGCATAAAATATATACTAAGCATAAATTATGGAAACTAAATATATCCTAATAATTTCCCAAAATATATCCTCCAATACCCCCCCTCAAGTTGGAGCGTGGGGATTGTAAATGCCCAACTTGGAAAGAAGATGATCAAACTGAGACTTCCCAAACGCCTTAGTGAAAATATCTGCAAGTTGCTCCTTAGTGGAAACATAGGAAGGGGCAATTAAGCCCTCTGTAATAGCATCACGAACAATGTGACAATCAATTTCAATGTGTTTCGTACGCTCATGAAAAACTGGATTTCGAGCTATATGTAAAGTAGATTGATTATCACAAAACAACTTGATCGTCTTAGGATGTTGGACACCCAAACTCAAAAGCAATGCCTTCAACCATTTCAACTCATGTGTGGTTGAAGCCATGCACCTATACTCAGCCTCAGAAGAAGAGAAAGATATTGTGGGTTGCTTCTTGGTTTTCCACGAAATAGGAGATTTACCAAGAAAAACTAGCCAACCAGTCAACGAACGACGAGTAAGAGGACACGCCGCCCAATCTGAATCACACCAACCCTACAAAATCAGGTCACTGTCTGCAATCAACAAAATACCCTGTCCTGGAGTACCCTTTAAATAACGAACCACCCTTAGAGCTGCTTCCCAATGCTCAATCCGAGGTTCATGCATAAACTGAGAAAGAATATGAACAGAATATGCCAAATCTGGTCTAGTCACAGAGAGATAAATCAACCGCCCCACTAGTCTACGATAAGACTCAGGATCCTCAAGTAACTTACCACTAGCAAGACTAAGCTTATGGTTCTGCTCAATCAGAAAACCACTTGGTTTCGCACCCAAGAGCCCTGCTTCAGAAACAATATCCAAGGTGTATTTTCGTTGACACAAAAACAAACCTGATTTACTACGAGCAACTTAAATGCCCAAAAAATATTTCAAAGGACCAAGGTCCTTCATCTTGAAACAATCACCAAGATAAGCTTTGAACACAGTTAATGCAGCGGAATCATTCCCAGAAATAATAAGATCATCAACATAAACTAAGACATTAATCTGAACATTGCCTTTAGTGTATGTGAAAAGAGAATAATCAGAGTAAGATTGAATAAAACCATACCCTTTTAGAGCCGTAGTGAATTTTGCAAACCAACATCTCGGAGCTTGTTTCAACCCATACAAAGACTTTCTCAAACGACACACCAAACTCGAATCCGAGCTCTCAAAACCTGGAGGTAATTTCATGTACACCTCCTCTTCTAGATCACCATGTAAGAAAGCATTATGAACATCCATCTGCTGAATCTCCCAATTTTTTGAAACTGCTATAGCAAGAAAAGCACGGACATTAGTCATTTTTGCAACCGGGGCAAAGGTCTCACCATAATCAATGCCTTCTCGTTGATGATTACCAAAAACAACCAATCGAGACTTAAGACGTTCAACATCACCATTAGACAAGAATTTCGTCTTGTACACCCATTGACAACCTAGAGCTTTCTTACCAGGAGGAAGATGCTCCAATGTCCAAGTCTCATTATCTTCCAAAGCCCTTATTTCTTCTTTCATAGAACGTCGCCAACCTTCAGATTTCATGGCTTCTCTAAAAGATTTTGGATCCTTTCCCAAAACAACAGCAGCAAGAAATTTTCAATAGTTTATAGAAAACATGTCACAATTTATATAGTGTGCTAAAGGATAAGGTGTACCTGAAGGAGTGTTGGATGACGGAGAGGACGGAGACGGACTTTTAGCAAAAACAGAATGTGTCACATAATCACGGAGTTTTACCGAGGGAATCTTTTCACGATGACCTTTACCCTAGGGCTCGACCATTTGATGCTTGACGGAGGAACCCTAAACTGAATCTGCTCCACCGAGCGACTGTTGTGCTGCTCGGCCGCTGCTGTACTGTGCCGTACAGGGACAGAATCTGCCTGCTGCTGTGTTAGTTGGGCAGAGGCAGATTCTGCTTGCTGTGATGGCCGGGCATGGGCAGAATCTGCCTGCTGTGATGGCTGGGCAGGGGTCACCTCTGCCTGCTGCTGCTGGTCTGTGGCAGTTGGTGGAGCAGAGGACTTCGCAGCCCCCCTGCGGTCTGTAGCAATATGCCGCGGGGTGGTTGCGGAGTGGGCTGGTTCCTCTCTTTCCAACGTAGCATTCATGGCCTCACTTTCAAGGCTTTCATTCTCAACATACCCCAATTCAAATTCATCAAAATCAACATGTATATCTTCACCCGTATCACAGAGATTTGCATCGATGTTAACATCATCCGAGTTACCAAAAGGAAACACTTCCCCAAAAACTTCACATCACGAGATACAAAAAAGACTTTCGACTCAAGATCATACAATCTCCATCCTTTCTTCCCAAAGGGATATCCCACAAAAACACATTTCCTACTCCGACTTGCAAATTTGTCCCCATTTGTTTTCTGATTATGAGCAAAACAAAGACATCCAAATGTACGTATTGCATCAAACGAGGGTGATTTATTGAACAAAATTTCAAAAGGTGTTTTATTTTGTAACAAGGGAGTGGGTGTACGATTAATTAGATGAGCAGCGGTAAGGACACACTCCCCCAAAAAATAAATAGGCAATTTGGCTTGAAACCTCAAAGCTCTCCCAACTTCAAGAATGTGTTTATGTTTTCTCTCGACCCTCCCATTTTGTTGTGGAGTCCCCACACAAGAGGTTTGAAAAATAATACCGGTAGCACTAAAATAATCACGCAAGCAATTAAATTCCGTGCCATTATCACTTTGCACAACTTTAATGGTTTGAGAAAACTGTCTATCAACTATTGCAACAAACGCTAAAAACATTCTAAAAACCTCAGTTTTATCAACCAACAAATAAATCCAAATAGCTCGGGAATAATCATCAACAATAGTCAAGAAATAACGAGCTCCGCACGACGAGACATGTCGATACCGACCCCACAAATCACAATGTATTTTCTCAAAAATCCTAGAAGCTCGATCTACCATCACTTAAAGGAAATTTATCTCTAGGATGTTTAGCATGCATACATACCTCACACCCTTTATCAAGATTATGTTTATTTCCATTGACACGAGGAAGTAACTTA